AGCCCTCCCAGGTGGAGCCTGCTTGTTCTTCCACAGTGTCCACAAGAGGCTTTGTGGTCTTGGCATCTTCCAGGTCATTACTCTTCCCTTCTCATGCAGAACTGCCTGTGTGAGATTCATGACATCTGTTTTTTTTTAATATATTTTTATTGATTTCAGAAAGAGAGGGATAGAAACATCAGTGATGAGAGAGAATCATTGATTGGCTGCCTCCTGCAAGTCCCACACTGGGGATCAAGCCTGCAACCTGGGGCATGTGCCCCCACCGGGATTGAACCTGTGACCTTCTGGTTCATAGGTCGATGCTCAACCCCTGAGCCACACCAGCAGGGTGATTCATGACATCTTTATGGGCCCTTTACTGTTTGTACTTCTGGACCTTAATCACACACTACAACTTCAGCACCTAGCTTATATACTGCATTCTCTCTTTTTTCTTTTAATGGTAATAGCTGCACACAAGTGAATGAATGACCCATCCTTAGTGCCACTGTAGCCTCAAACGTTTTATTAGATTTTATCTCTTCTCAGCACTTTTCCCGTGGTTGGTTGCAATTTAGATTTGTCATTGCTTCAAGAACCTCCCTACCTCTGAAATTAGAATGCCACTCCACCAATCTGATTACAACCTCATATCTCTCCAGGTCTCTTATTCTCATTAATATTGCTGGTTCAACTGAACCAGCAGATACCCCGTGTCTGTCCTTTTATATATTTACTAGTGGCCCAGTGCATGAATTCATATCACTATTCCCCCTTTATAATAGAAGTGTCAACCAAATTCATGATCGACAATGACAGAAACACATGTGCTGTTGGCGCCAGCGAGAGCTTTATGTGTGTCATGCATGTGCGAGTCAACTTAGCCTTTTATAGATACAGAATAAACTTGCTTAATTAGACCTGCTTTCTGATTAGCTAAACTTTTTCCAGCCCAGTGAAGCACCCCCAACTTCACTTTCAGGTAATTGTCAGCAACACAGCAGTAAATATCAACACAAAGTAGATTATTATTGTAGATCATGCAAGGAGAACAAAGGGTAAAATATTTAACTGCAGCAGTGTTTGACTATATTCTGCACAGTGAGAAAACCGGAAGTCATTTTCAAGGTCCATCATTCTTTTTAGTTGGGTCAAGTTTCTAAGCTTTCTAAATCTTCATTTTCCAGCTAATGAAAAAAAAATAGGATTCCATCGAGTCTCCTATCTACCTACTCCAGGACTTCTGTGAAATCAAACAAGATGAGGCATAGGAAAATGCTTCACAGACTCTCAGTTAAAGTGTAAAGTGTTTCCACCTGGCTATAAAGCAAGTCCTGTTCCTAGGCTGAAGAACTGCAAGGAGGCTAGTCACTAGGGAGAGGAAGCTGGGTGTTGCTACATGACAATACCCGAATGGTTGGACACTTAGCATGTTAGCCTTTTATATCTATAGATTCTCCCCACCAGGTCTTCCCAGGGGTTAATGTAGAAGTTCATCATGTTCTTCAAACTTATCTCACGCCTAGCTTCCCTTCTCACATGCCCTTGCCTCCCATTTCAGATATGAATTCTCTACTTCTGACTATAGGGAAGGCTGTTCACCATCCCTTACCTTCAACAATGCTCTTAATTGAGATATGTTTCAGAATGTTCAGTTGCATCAGACAGCAGCTCCAGATGTTACGCTGCAGTGTGGTCAATCTGATGTCCATCCCAACCCCCTTGTCCTCTGCCTTACCTCCCTTAGAAACTGGAAGAGCTGAATGCTTGCTTGCTTTTCTGTGCAGGAACTTTGCCTTGGAACTGCACTCCCAACAAAACAGATAAACTGCATACGTTCTAGAAATTACATAGTTTTTATTCCATTTAAATTTAATGAAATTGTCGCTACCAAAATCGGACATCTGCACTGAATTGACAAATCTTTTTAGTTTGAGGATAATAGGGGAAATCTATAGATAATTTTCTAAGTCACCTGCCCTGAGTTGGGACAGGCCATGTTATCAGCTGAAAACTTGATCCTTTTTTCTGGTGAGTGTTGGAGGAAGATAGCTCAAGGTCTGAACCCTCTGCTAATACTGCTTAATGGAATCTTAGGCACATTAACCCTCCTGTGCCTTAAGTTTCCTCATTTGTAAACTGACATTAAGTATATTTACCCTTAGTGTCGTTTTGAGAATTAAACAATAGACTTGGCACATTGTCTAGCACTCGGTAAACACTCAAATATTAGCTAATTTTTGTCTCCATCTGGGGCCCAGACCTCCTTGCTAGGGCTCACAACTGCATCCAGGGCCCTGACCCAGACCTCCATTCCAGACCCAAACCTCCATCCCAGACCCAGACCTCCATCCCAGGGCCCAGACCTCTATCCGGGGTCCCACTCTGTCCCACTCCTGGATTGTATAGACAAGACATTTGTCAAAGTAAAAATAGGAAACAAAAAAAAGAAGAAAGAGATCTTCATCAGCTCCTGAAATACTTCAGGGGAGAAAGCTAAAAAAATATTTGCCTGAACCAAAATGTATTGCCTCTGTTAGTGTGTCATTAGTTTCATGGACTGTTCTCCAGGGGTCTCTCATGTTCTACTTAAGCTTATGAACAGAGAGAGATACTGCTCTAGAAAACAGGCCCATGTCTAGGTGATTTTTCAAGGATGCTTATATAATGAACAGCCTTGGAAGAGATAGTGTGTGTCTCTGGGAAGGTTGGTTTACTGTCCAATAAAATAAAGATAATGTCTCCCAAAGGGGCAAAGGTCAGGCAGGCCTAGGCCCAATATAAAAGATTGGGTTCCCTATGTTCTGAGTTCCTCATGTAATGTAATCTGTGTATGCAGGTATTATCTGACCTTCTGGTGTTGGTCTTTGGGAATTAGGGAATTGCTGATACTCTGGCTTCTGTTATTGCAGCAATTAATTAATTCCTGGATGGAGGTCTCAGCCCCAGATGGAGATCTGGGTCCTAGGATCGACATCTGGGCACCTGATACAGGACTGGATCCTAGGTTCGAGGTCAGGGTCCTGGGATGGAGTTTTGGGCCCTGGCATGAAGGTCTGGGACCCGAATGTAGGTCTGAGCCCCTGAGGGAGGGCTGGATACTGGGATGGAGGTCTGAGTCCCGGCTGGAGGTCTGGGAACCCGATACAGGGTTCTGGGTTCTGGATTCTGGGTTCATGATCAGGGTCCTGGGATGGAATTCTGGGCCCTGGCATGAAGATCTGGGTCCTGGGGTGGAGGTCTGGGCCCGGGATAAAAGACTTTGTCCTGGAGAGAGGGATGAGTCGTGGGATGGACTTCTGGGCCACTGATGGAGGTCTGGGTCATGGGCTGAACCTCTGGGTCATGGAATGGAGGTCTGGACCATGGATGGAAGTCTGGGCCCCCACTACAGGACTGGATTCTGGGTTTGAGCTCTGGGCCCAGGGATGGACTTCTGGGCCCTGGCATGAAGGTCTGGGACCCAGTTGTAGGTCTGAGCCCCGGATGGAGGTCTAGCCCCGGAGGGAGGTCTGGGTCCTGGGATGGAGGTCTTGATCAAGGCTGGAGGTCTGGGCACCCAATATAGAACTAGATTCTGGGTCCGAGGACAGAGTCCCCAGATGGAGTTCTGGGCCCTGGCATGAAGATCTCAGACGAAGATGTAGTAGTATGTGTGACCCCAGATGGAGGTCTGGCTCCTAGGATGGAGGGCTGTGCCCTGGAAGGAGGTCTCATTCCTATGATGGACCACTGGGTCATGGAATGGAGACCTGGACATTGGATGGAAGTCTGGGCCCGTGATACATTTGGCTGTGTTTGACGGCAGGGCCCTGGGATTGCCCTCTGGGACCTGGATTGATGGTCTGGGACCTGGATGTAGGCCTGATGCCCAGGTGGAGGTCTGGGTCCTGGGAGGGAGGTCTGGCCACTGGAGGGTGGTCTTGGGCCCAAGATGGAAGTCTGGGTCAGGGGCTGTACCTCTGGGTCAAGAAAGGGTGGTCTGGACTACTGTGGATGTCTGGACCCCGATAAGGGACTGAAAACTGTGCTCGAGGTCTGGGCCCTGGCATGAAAGTCAGGGACCCGGATGTAGGTCTGGGTCCCTGATGGAGGTATAGGTCCTGGGAGGGAGGTCTAAGCACAGGAGGGGGGTCTTTTTTGCCCCGGATGGAGGTCTTTTTTGCCCCGGATGGAGGTCTGGGGCCCATTTGGAGGTTTGGGTTCAGAATGGAGTCTGGACTCTGGATGTAGGTCTGAGTCCTGCTATGCGTATCTGTGCCCTGATATAGGTACTGGATGGCTGTCTGAGATCTTGAATGGAAGTCTTGGTGCTTCTGTGGATATCTGGGCCCCCAATGGAGTTGTGGGAATTGGGATGGATGTCTGGTCCCTAGATGAAGGTCTGAGCCCTGGCATGGAGCTCTGGTGTCCGGAATTGAGGCCTGGTTCCTAATGGAGTTCTGGACATCGGGATGGAGGTTTAGGCTCTGGCTTGGAATTATGGACCCTAGCATGGAGATCAGGGCCCCGAATGGAGGTCTGGGCATCTCAATGGAGTTTTTGGCCCCAGGATGGAGCTCTGGGCCCTGGATGGATAAGGGTCTCCCAACATAACTTTGGATTTTTATGGAAATCAAAGAATGAGTTCAGGGTGGGCCTCAGGGCTTCCCAGCAGCATTGCACGGAAGCTGGGCGGGCAGCGCACTCCCTCCCGCTGGCCTCGCAGACCGGTTCCTGCAAGAACCAACAGGGAGCCTCAGGGTGCTAGGATGGCATGAGTTTGAGGATCTTAACCCAAATGCACTACTGAAATTGGACAAATAATGGGTCTGGCTGCTTGTCACTACTTGAGCCAATTAAACAGAGACAGCGTTGAATGATATATGAGCATTTAGTTCAATAATGCCGGCAGTATGGGAGAGCTGCAGGCCATCCATGAAAATCTGCTCAGCACCCCCCACCCCGACCCCATAAACCAGCTGCTTATATTGGGTAGGACAAAGATTACATGGGGAAGTAGGTAGAAAGGAAAATGGGTATAATGGGTATAATGATTACAGATTACAGGCAATGTGGGCTGTGGAAACTCCATGGTTTGGGCAACAAGGTTGTTAATCTCTCCATGGAAATAGGCTGTTCTCAGAAGAGAATGTACCACATTCCAAGGTTGACTCCGAGGTCCTGGGATTGCCAGTCAGGTTAGAATGTGCTTCCTTTAATCAGGGAAAAACAACAACAACCCAATCAGTTAATAGAGCATGATTAATATTTCATATAACTAAAAGGTAGTCCCCCATATTCCATTTCTGTCCTGCTACCAACATTTTTGGTTGCAGTACAAGGTATAATTGACCCAGCTTTTTTTGTTCATTCCAACCTTAAGCCAATTACAGGGGTAGGCAAAAATAAGTTTATATTGTAGGTGGTGGGAACAGCACCAGTGTGGTCAGACCAAACCTGAGTTTGGCAACCTTGGTACTTGGTACTTGGGTTTTGTCTAGGAAAGAATTTAGAGCCAAGACCCAAACTGTAAGAAAACTTTTATTTGGTAAGTCACAGAGGTAGAAAAAGTAATTCCTAGAAGAACATGTTATAGAGCAGTGGTTCTCAACCTTCCTAATGCCGCGACCCTTTAATACAGTTCCTTATGTTGTGGTGACACCCAACCATAAAATTATTTTCGTTGCTACTTCATAACTAATGTTGCTACTGTTAGGAATCGTAATGTAAATATCTGACATGCAGGATGTATTTAGGCGAGCCCTGTGAAAGGGTCATTCAACTCCCAAACGGGTCGTGACCCACAGGTTGAGAACCACTGTTATAGAAGACTTTTAGTTACTAAATGAAGAAGGACTAATGGAGTTAGAATTTACCGTTTTTGCTATCTCCTGTGGAATATGGATCTCGGCAGTAACCTCCAGGCTCTTACAGCCATGGGCATGCTCCCAGGAGAAAGAGAGCATGGGGTCTTCCATCCTAAGGGCTTTATGGATGGAGATTTTAGGGGAGGTCCTAAGGGTGGAGATTTTAGGGGAGGTCCCCGGGAAGATCTCAAAAGCATAGTCAGCAGTTTTCTAGGTGTGTCCTTTCAGGGTTATGATCTCCACTCATTGATTGGCCAGCACCAGGGGGTTATTATTCAATGCAACTGGTCCTGAAGCTGGTTTTGTTTCTTATCTGGGCCTGGAGCTGAAATACAATTGAGACACAGATGTTATTTCTAGGGAGGAAAGGTCAGGGGGTCCAAACCTCATGAGCAGTGATATGCTAGGGGTGGAAAGGTCATCCTGGGACAAGGCCCCTCCCCCTACAATTGATTGTCCATTGCTAGGCACCTCGGGCTTTCCACCCTGTGACTTCTGTACCTGGTCATTGCTCTGCTCATGTCTATCTAACTGCCTGCCACAGGTTTACAGTTGTTCAAATGAAAAATAATACAATAATTAAATAATAATACAAGAATAAACCCTGTGTTTCACATACTCACAACTGTAAACCTACTTTTTTCCACCTTGTATTTCTGATCAGTCTGTTTTGGCTTTTGGTTCAGTTTCACCAATACTCTAGACAACAGTGGTTGGGGAGTTCATATGGTCTTACAAGACTTCGTGTGAGTGTTGCTGTCTCCAGAGGGTTGGAATAAGGACCTCTTTTCACCACACAGGTTCTGAAAGAGAATGAAAAATAAAATTAAACAGCAGGCAGATGGAGAACTAAATCCTGATTACTGATAAAGATGAAGTTGGAAAGCTTAGGACAAGACTTAGGCAGACTTAAGTAACTACTTGTAGGCAATGCTGGGGCAGAGTTAGGGTGTCTGCTTCTTGAGCTCCAAGCTCCCAAAAGAGAGAAGAGAAGAAGGTCCATGCATATCTATTTTAATTCTTCCTAAATTTATAGTTTTCCAGAAGAGGGGATAAGGGAAAAATGACCCTTTCACAGGGGTCGCCTAAAAAGAGAGGCTGTGAATTATATTAACTGAGCTTCCTCCAAGTGGATGGAATCACTAGGCAATATTCTTTTCTAATAGCAGGAATCAGTAACTGTGGACATTAGAAGCATCTCGGTCTCTCCCCCATCCCTTTTGTGTACTGGGCATCTCCTTCACACCATCCATTTCCCATTGGAGTCTCTGAGCCCCTGGAAGACAGGGTCTATGTTCTATTTTTCTTCATATCCTTGACACTTAATATAGTAGTGTCCCCTTAATCCTTGGGGAATGCCTTCCAAGACCCCCAGTGGGTAGTATATATAGAATTTGGATAGCACCAAATTCTAAATATACTGCCTCTTTTTCCTGTACATACATACACATCTACCTATAAAAAAGTTAAATTTATAGCCCAGCCCATTTGACTCAGTGGTTGAGTGTTGACTTATGAACCAGGAGGTCATGGTTCAATTCCTGGTCTCAACACATGTTCCCAAT